GAGTTCGGGCCACGACCAGACCCAAAAAAAAAAAAAAAAGACCAGCAAGTATATGAAGGCTTAAGTTCAAGCTCCAGTACCAGCACACAAAAAAGTAAAACACAATTTCAGTACACCTGTGGACTCCTCATTCTGTGAATCCTAATCAGCCTGCTACTGATTCCTCCAAGTGGTACTCTGTGTCCCCTAGCTGCTAAGAACAAGGAAGGGCCCTTCCTAGGAGTGAACGGTGCCAGCCTCTATCTTTGTGGTCATCCAGCATGCCCAGCTGTTAAGGTGGGCAGCAGGAGGCTCCTGGGTTTGTTCTTCAAACCAGCAGCTTTGGCCAATGACTAAGCACAGTTGTAGTTACTGGCCTGGCGTTTTGAGATGGGCCTATAGATAGCTGGACTGGATAACACCTTCTACCCTCTAAGGAAAGATGGGTGTAAGTACCCCACACAGGGCAGTACCCCCTCCCCCAGCTGCTCCCTGTAGAGGGTGAGTGAGCACTTTTCTTCCTCTGCCAAGATCTGGTGCTAGTGAAAGCCACACCCACTGCTTTGCAGTAATGCCAGTGAGTTAGATCCGCTTAGCAGTTCCTGGAAAGACAGTTAAGACACTCAAGCTTCTAGCCCATCCCACAGAGAAGCAAATCAGAGCTACAGGATGGACTGATGCCTCCAGACTTCTGCTGTCTGTAAACACAGTGCCTGTTTAGTCATCCACAAGGCACAAAGTTGTTCCAAGTCACCCAATTTCGCATACTTTTCTGTGTCCCTCTCCCAGGCCAATCCTGTCTCTTACAGAAGCAGGGCTCTGAGCATGCACCACCACATGAATCCACAAGTAACAGGTGTCTTCATTTTACCCACAACAGTATGCTGGAAACACCCAGAGAGCAGTACCCTAAGGATCTTAAACCGGCCGTGGCTAATCTTCCCGAAAAACTGCCAAAATACCTTTCTTTGGGGTGGTAATGATCAGCACTGCCACTGAGCTGTGCCCCAGCTTTTGCATGGTCATGTGATTCCCATTTTATAGGTAAAGAAACTAAGGTTCAACAACTGAGTAAGGAGCATGCACGTGGAACAGCACCTCAGGGAGAATACGTCAACGGTTTGGGTATAAAAATTTATTATACATAAAGAATATTACCACTAATGGAGGCAGGTGAGGGCACAATGGTGCTGGCTGGAAGACAGCTCGTTCTTTGGAAAGGGAACTGGTTCAGAGGCTCGCAGCCTTGTGCCACACTGATTGGTCAGTTGGACAGAAGGGCGCATGCCGACCCCACAGGGCTTCTGGCGTCCACTAAGGGCCTGCCCTTCCTGTCCCATGGCACCCCTGAAGCAAGGGACTCCCCAAGGTGGCTCTGAAGTCACGGCAACACCACTGTAAGCAGTATGTTTAATTGGATGATTTCCAGAAACTATACATGAACTTTCTAGCCATCACAATTGGGTGAAGTACAAAATATTAGGTTACAGGCCGTGGAGGAAAAGGCAGCGCCAGCGGTGGCACTTCCCGTCCCGCGTGCTCTGAGGGGGAAGGGGAGGGAGGGAAGGTGTTAAGACCAAGCCCTCTTTTCAATGTACAAAAGAATTACTCTGATCGGTAATAAATTGTATTGAAAACAAAATGGACTAAGAAGCAAATGCTACTCTAATGTAGGGAGAGGGAGGCATGAGTCCTTCAAAGCAGGAAGGAGGCGCCAGGGCGGGGGCGGGGCCTGGTGGTCATTCGCGCTGCTCCATTTTTACTTTTGGTGGTCTCAGGAAGGTCCGATTTTTCTTCTCTTTCTTCCCCTTTGTATTTGCTTGGAAGTTTCTCCAGCTGTCTACCCGACCATCTCGACTTTCCTAAGAAAGACAACAAAGAACAAAAGAAGTTTGATGAGGCTGGTTAACAAGAGAAAAGGCCATCTACCCACTCTATAAATCCAGCCCAGTTCTGTGCTCTGGAACATTCCAAGAGCAGAGCAGAGCTGTTCTCCTACCTCCAGGTGCTCAGGAATGTTTAACGTCACCTCTCAAACAGAGTTTGAAAAGGAATAAAATGAGAAATACTACAACATCTGCTGGACACCTCTAGACTAGATGTTTAGCGCACAGTACTCCTTTTGTTTGCTTTGTGGTACTGGGGATCAACTCCTGAACCCTATACGTACTAGGCAAGTGAGCTACATCTCTAACCCCAACCCTACTACGTTATTTCTAACTTTCATGAAAAGCTGGCTAGAGGGTATGTTTACTGCAATTAGCATTTCCAAAGGACAGAATACTGAGGTTCAAAGAAATTAAATCATTTTCTCAGTCAGACAGTTAGCCAGCAGGATAGCCGTTCTTTCCACTACACTTCCTGTGTCCGGAAGTTGGATGGATGGCCCAAAGCCAGCTGTGAGCTAGACACTAGTGGCTTATGCTTGTAATCCCAGCTACTGAGGAGGCTGAAATCTGAAGGATTATGGTTAAAGGCCAGCCTAGACCGAAAAGTTTGCTAGAGCTGGGCACTGGTGGCTCATGCCTGTAATCCTAGCTACTCAGGAGGCTGAGATCTCAAGATCACAGTTCAAAGCCAGGACAGGCAGAAAAAGTCCGTGAGACTCTTATTCCAATAAGCCACCAGAAAACCAGAAGTGGCGCTGTGACTCAAGTGTAGGGCGCTAGTCTTGAGCTGAAGAGCTGAGGGACAGCGCCCAGGCCCAGAGTTCAAGCCCCACAATCGACAAAAGAAAAAAAA